TTCTCCCCTTGCCATCCACCCCTTCTCCTGTTATACCAGGATCCTGAGCTTCTGTTATCCAGAAAAAAGCAGGACATATACCCCTTTAGTCCTTATCCTACTGATATTCTCTCCCTACAGGCTGCTGTGAGAACTGAGGAGCAGCCACGGGGCTTCCCACTGGCCACGCCTACTGACCCCAGCCCCTCCCTGCTAGATCCCTGCTGCTGGCCCCAAGGGCCTTCACTGCTGCTTCCGGGAACCACGTGACTTAGTGCCCCGCCTCCGTGGGCATTACTTTGGCCTCTGCCATGCCTGTCTTCTAGCAGGAAAACTAGAAGCAGAAGGACCATATTTTTATACCCTTCACAGAATCCACAAGTCAGGTGTTGCACATGCCTTCAGAGCTGGATGAATTTAATGAACAACCTGACTGTAAGCCAATGGGGACTGGGGGACAGCGCTGACTGGGGAGGGAATATTCTGTCCAAATATGGGTCCAATGCTATCATATTGGATCTTTCAAGAGGAACTGAAATTCAAGACTTTCACCCAAAATCTCCTGTTTTAAAGTTGCTGACAACTAAAAATTACTAACACGTTATGGGTCAAACCTAACATGTCCATGGCCAATAGGAGCCCCCACACTGGCAGTCTGCAAATTTTAAGCTTCAGAACCAAGTCCCCCTCACTGGAAATGGGCTCCTTCCTACTTCTGTTTAAAGCAATCATGGCAAATCTAGAGTTCCAACAGGCTTGCACTAGATTGGGACTAAGGGAAAATGTCTATTTGGAGATTACCTTTTGTGGAAGAGCTCTTCCTCTTTCTTTCAGCTGAGAATTGTGAACTCTACCTCCTGTACATCCTCTGGAGGAACAGGGACCTCAGACATCAAGAACCCAAACCCGGCTGCCTTTCCTCTGGAGTAGAGCAGGTGCGTGTTCTGTTTTGCCATTTACAGTTTTCCAAAATTGGTTTGGCCAAAGAAGATGATTGCTCTGAATTGTTTTCCGTGGTTATTGTGTCAATTTACATCCCACTGACAGCAAAGAAGTTATTGCTTACACAGAAATTATTTTGTTGTTAAGAAGGTCTTGTTGCTGAACATAAAATATTACCAGAAATTGTCTAAGTGAATTTTTCATTTTTTCAATGAATCCACCTAATGGGAAAGGTAGGACACCAGCAAAATTTTCCAAACACTCTATTATAGGTTGCATTACAGAGTAAAAGCCAGATTTTAGAGCTTTTAGGAATCTACTGTTGTCATTATTTTTTATCTTAAGTGACCCAGTGTCCTAAAAATAATCTAGGAATTCTTAGCAGGTAGATCCCTTCCAGATATTAAGAATATCAGGAGAAATTTTTTTTATCATGATGAGTTAGACAGGATATTTTTTCTTTTTTGGTGCTGATGCCATTCATTCTTTTTCCATCCTGGTATTATAAACTTTGATAACCAACTGTACAGTTCCATTGTTACCTTCTAAACAACTCCCTCTTATGGATATAGGAAATTTTTATTTTATTCTTAGTTTTGATTGACAACTTAGTATTCATGTTATGAAAAGTTATATAAAATGCAAAATAAGTGTATCTCTTCTAAATCTCAAAAGATGAACATTTAAAAATATTTGTATGGAAAGCAGGGAATATTAAGGTCTTCAAAACCATATTAAATCAAATTTTTGATCTTCTTCCAGGTATACAATCCACTGACTGAAAAGTAATTCTCCTTAATCAGAAAAGTTAATTCCTGACACTGCAACAATTTGTCTTGCCATGATGTGATATTTGTAGAGAACTAAAATAGCATAATGACACAAACCCTTCTGACTTGGGGGATTTCTAACAAAAAGGTTAAAACTGAATTCTGCAACCATGCAAATGAGCACAGGCCTCCTCTATGGCCTCAGGGTCCTGGAACAAAACAGGAGCTGTTCTCAATAAAACCAAGCTGTTGAGAATAAAAATCAGAACTCAAAACAGTAAATAGGAGCCATCAAATCTTTGTTTTCCTAAGCTGCTGAAGCTCTAGAGCTCCCTAGTGAGTCATCACCAGTCTAAGTGCTAGGTGCAGGGAGGGCCACAGGAAATCTAACCAGCTATTGTTTAGACTGATTTTTTAAAAACAGAGGAATCAAAAAGTCTTTGATATCTTGATACACATGATACCATTCTTTTTTTTTTTTTAGAGAGTTTTTTAAAATTTATTTGACAGAGAGAGTGAGAGAGAGAGAGGGAGCACATCGTGGGGGAGGGGGTCACAGAGGAAGAGGGAGAAGCAGGCTCCCTGTTGAGCAAGGAGCCCAGTGTGGGCCTGGGATCATGACCTGAGCCAAAGGCAGACGCTTAATGGACGGAGCCACCCTGGTGCCCGGATATCATTCTTCCTATTTGCTAGGATGACATGAATGGAACTATATGAAGAAAGAAAGTATTTCAGTATGTACTCGCAGTGAGGGTTTCATAGCCACAGATTATACACTGCATGGTGATAGACCAAGGAAAAAGAACACATGGTCCCTAGTCGTCCAACTTTTTATTAAGGAGTGGGGGAGAAAAAAAAGTTTGTATCTATGGGATGTACACTTTCAAAGTACCTTATATGCCATAGAATGATCCAAGTACAGTTTACTAACGAGAAACCTCAAGTCCAAGGGGTTGAAGAACTTGTCCAAGACCTCACCTTCGGGAAGGGCTGGGGCAGGTATTCAAAGTCAATGTGGTCTGATTCCACAGCCAGTGTTCTTACCCGGGACACCTGAACACACTATCCCTCTCAGATCTTTATCTATTTGCTATTATTTATAACTCTATGTCCATATTTACACTTACCTATAGCTGTGTCACCTGGAACTATCTATTTAATACAAAATAGTGGAAAATAAGTTAACAATCAGAACCACATGAAAAATGAATAGGACCAAGGGAAAGATATACAGGCCACAATGTCTGTACGGTCACGACTGGAGCTTCAAATGTGGTGTTTTTGCTTCTCAGTGTCAAAGAAAAGAGGAAAACATGGTCATTTCAAAGTGCACATTGTCTACCTGGGGCAATAAGCTAAGAAAAGTTCATTTTGGAAGAGTTCGTGAAGAGGGTGAATTTGTGCAATGTCTTCACGGAAAAGAGAGAGGCAGTTTGGTGCGGAGGATATGCTCTTCATTGGTGATTCTCAAGCAGAGGCAGCTGCTGCTCTGGGACTTGGGGCAGAAGCTTTCACACTGCATCCCGGATGGCCGTGCCGTGGACCCGTCTCTGGAGGGTGGTGGATCTCTGTTGAGAATTCTGCTATGGCTGCTGGGCTGCTAATGGCACTGTACTAATCGGGGTGCACAGGGGAGAGCCTCTCAGGTGTAAGGAGGAAAGGGAGGATAACACCTGTTCTAGATAAAGGGAGTGGCAGGAGTCATTTATTCATTGGTTTCTTCTAAAAACATTCAGCATAACGCCACGTGCAAAGGTAAGAAAAGTAGAGCATGTGTTATGTTTCAGAATGGATGAGAATTCAGTGTGTCCATGTGCCACACACTGTGTTAAAAGCTTCACATATGTTATTTCATTTCATCTCGACCACAAGTTTGTGAAGTAGGAATAATGCACATCTCATAGGTCAGAAAACTTGAGCTCAGAGAGATCAAGTAACTTGCCCAAGGTAACCCAACTCTGAAATGCCAGGATGGAGTGCCAGACAGGTGCTGTCTGTCCTTACCCAGCCTATTTCCACTCTCCATTTTCAAAGACAAGCCCCCCACCCCGCTTGAACAACTCCAGGGGGCAACATTCCCATTTAATTCTATGTAAATGGTTCTCCTGGACCTCAACTGGGGAGGGAAATCAAAATGGCTTTGATGAAAGCATACACTCTCAGGGGGTTTTTAGCCTGATTGTAGAATAAAGACAAGTATGTGCACATTTCCTAAAAACAATATAAAATACCAAAAGAGGAGAACAGAGGTTGGGGGATTCTTATGCTGGGATTGAAGTCACGGCATCTGGGAAGGTGTAGAAGCAGCAGCATTTGAACTGAGCTGAGAAGGATGGCTACAATTACAAGAGATATTATGGTGTGGGAGAGATACTTTCTTGGAGAGACAGTGGGATGTTCTGTAAGGCCTTTCCAAGGACTTGAGATTAGCACAATTCTGCTGGAAAAGGTCACACTAGTGACATCATAGAGGAATGAATTCAGTTTAAGGGACAGCAATGGACAGATCTGAAATCCAAGTACACACCTTGACTGATATCTCTCCAGTTCTGTGTATGCCTCATCTTCTCAATCAGGGAATCCAGAACTGCTTAACAGAGTGACACTGGCATGTGAAGTCCCATCTAGTGCTCTAGTAACTCAAGTAACTCAGAAAATTAGGAGGAATTTTGAAGGAGGAGGCAGTGGAATCAGGTTTCAGGACCTAACACTCCTCTTTTCTCCTCCCTATTCCACCTTCCATTCACTCCATCTTTGAAACATCAGACCTTTCCCTCCCAATGTCTTGGCAGTGCCAGTTTGGGGAAATAAAGGAGTTAGTTTTGTAGCTCCAAGAGTCCAACTTGGAGAGAAGGAGGACGTGCTTGGCCCATAGATAAGACATCTCTGACTCCTTCAGCCTGCTCTCGAGCATTCCTACGCCATGCCCCATAGCTCTCCGATGCCTTCAAGAGAAATGCATAATTTGGATTCGGGTGCAACAACCTGCACATGTACCACAAACAGTCGAAGAAGGAAGAGAAAGGAGAGTGACCTCAACTGCCACTAGGCCTGGGGCCTTGGGGACATGAAGAAACGTGCTCCACAGAGCTGACTGCCATCTCAGAAGGGACTTGCCCTGTGTCTGGAAATGGGTTCCATAGATCTTACTGCTGTGTAGGAAGAGATTTAAACTGCCCGGAAGTTCTGACCTCTGCTCCCATGCTGCCTACAGGGATGAGGTGGAGCTGTTGCCAACCCTCACCCCTACCCACTGTGACATGCTGCCCCGCCCCGCCGGATTGGACAGGTCTGGTGATAGGTGGAGAACTCAATTAGCAAGGAGATAACATTTTCTGAAAGTTCTGACAATCGGTTGGAAATCTCAGTGGGAACTGAAGAAATCTCAGTTGGGAAGAGAAGGGTGAGTTCAGAGGCCATCATCAAAAACTGGGATGCCTTGTGTGTAAAGAGAATAGGAAAAATGCAGGGGAGCGATGAAAGGGGAAGGAGGTGTGAGAAGGAATTAAAAAGGGAAAGCCAAAAAGCTTTAGAGGAAAGAGGAAAAGGAGAGAAGCTGAAACATGAAAGGAGAGGGGAGTGTGGAACTCTACTTTTCTTAGATTAGTTTCAGTTCTGAACTTCAGTTTTGGGGCAGTGATTAGGAGACACCGTCCCTGGGAGCCCAACATTTGTTTTTTCCTGCTGGTAGTTGTATCCTGCTCTCCACCCCACTGTTTTTGCTGCTATTTTAGAATCAACTCAGCCTGTGACATCTAGAGCTTGTTAGAACACTGATGGCAATAGAGCTAGAAATCAGGCAGCCAGCTTTATGGGACCCTCTGGCTCTCTCGATTATTTTTTTTCCCCTAAGTTTCCCTGGAGATCTGGGTTAGAAATGAACTCTCAGTGCATTTGCCAATAGACATAAGCTTGAGTGCCCTTAGTGTATCACCTGTGACCAGACAAATGGCAGCCCAGGAATGGGAAAGGTAGCCAAAGTGTGAAAAACTGTGAAAATAAGATTTTTGTACTCCAGTGGGATTCACTTATGCAATTTTAAGTTAAAACACAATCTGGATTACTGGAATTTAGTAAAACACTGCAGTTGATGCTGGAAAACAGAAGGGTTTAGGAGGCATGGGTCTCTTCTCGGCTCTGTCTTTCCTGGTCAAACTTTTGCCTGCTTCCTCCTGGGCCAGTGTAGGGCAATGTTACTATGTTGGACATTAGCGGGGACGTTTCCATAATAAACGTGTGTGTTAACATTTTAGGAAACCACAATGGAAGGAGCTGGACGGGACCCACTGGATAATGTGTAAGAAATGAGGATGATAAAGTTCAGTAGAGGAGCTGCTATGTGAAAGTTCTGCCCCAATCCATAGTGAAGAGAACCTCCATGATGCAGGACATTATCTCCCCATGTCCCGGGACCCTTCCTGCAGAGAAAAGACCCTAGTTTCAGATCTTTGAACTTCCTCATACCAAGCATGGTGGGGTTTTCAGAAATAGCTAAGACTTCAAAAAGCAAGTCAGTCTTATTTGGAGGAAAGATCCACTCCCTCCCTCCCTTGGCCCCTATCCAGCCGGTAGACCTACTTGACTAGCATAGAAAACATGCAGCATAAACTCCTCAGGAGACTGTAACAGAAGGGACTAGAGATATCCCCTCACCCTGGCAGATCTTTAAATGCTTCATAGCTGTAGCTTGGATTCTACATACTCCCTAAAATTTTTTTAAAAAATAAGTAACTTGGAGCATAATTGTTCTTATGAAAAAAAAGTCTTCTGCTTTATAAAGGGTTTGTGTTTTAATGGGTTCCATTTATAATATTTAAAAATAAAATGTGATTTGAGGGGCACCTGGCTAGCTCAGTATCAGTCAAGCAGCTGCCTTCAGCTCAGGGTGTGATCCCAGGGTCCTGGGATCAAGTCCGGCATTAGGCTCCCTGCACAGCAGGGAGTCTGCTTCTCTCCCTCTGCTCCCCTGCTCCTGCTCTCTTGATTGCTCTCTCTCTCTCTACATCTCAAATAAATAAGTAATAATACCTTTAAAATTTTTTTTTAAAAATGTGATTTGACTCCAGGAATTTATTCCATGCAAAACACTACAGAAATCAATTTATCATGGCAAATTATAACATAGGGCTGCTTAGACATAGTAACAGCAGAAGATGGGGGAATGAATGAGATTACCAGTGGAAATTTTCTTAGGGCTCCCCTGTTTTCCTGTCCTGAGCTCAGTAAGAAAGATGATTTTCCTGTAGGCAGGAGATGATGGAAATACCGAAATTAGAAGTCACAAAACAAAACCTTGACTACCTGAACTCAGACCTTGAAAAGGACCTGCAGAGACTGGATGAGGCAAATCAAGTTCTTCTCAGAAAAATTCAAGAGAAGGAAGAAGCTATTCAAAGGTCAGGCTTTGCAGTTGGTGAGGGAAGGGCTTCTCCTCAACAGAATGCCCTTTGGAATAAAGAGAAGGTGGGAGGAAGATTTCCTTTTTTGTTGATAAATCTTAGTGTATGAAATTCTGAAGCATGAACTGTGATGCCCCCAGAGGCTTTATGTATAGATTTCGGCATTAAATTTCCACGAGGCTGATGTTATATTACCAATGCATTTGGGACTCAGTCTGGCCCCCCAAGACCTTGGCTTCCTAAGCTGGGGCACTGGCAGCTTCCTTATGACTAATCCACATCTGGTGTCTGTATTTTTCAGTCTGGAAGGAGAGATTGTCCTGTCACTAGGACAAGCCAGTGAGAGGGAGGAGTTGAACCATATCAAATCTGAGGAGGAGGAGACCTTGGGGAACCTGGAATCAGAGACAGTCAAGTTGGTAAGAAGGTGTCTAGAAAAGGACTGTGTGATGCATTTGGCTTCAGTCTGCTGCTGCTCTCTCATTCCCTGGGGATCATCATCCATGGTCCTTGCTATGTCTGGAGAAATCAGATGAGAGTGCTCTGAGAAAGAAGCACTTGTCGTGGGGGCCCTGTGCCTGGGCTCCCTTCCCATTTCCTCTGTGTGGGGCCAGAGTGTCCTTCTCTCCCTCAGCACACTTATCCACAGACCATATTTTAGAGACCCAGGGAGAGGGAAAGTATAGAAGCAGAGCAGATGTATCCCCCTTTACTTCTTCTTTTCCACAGGAAAAAAGTAACAAGATTCTGAGCAGGAATGTGGTGGAGCTTCAGAAGAAGGTAAGGGGGCCATCTTTGCTGAAGGCTCATTTCTTAGGAATCTTGACAAAGTCATCTGAATTCCAGAACCCTCTAGTCAGAAAGACCTAAGAAGGGGGTGCCTGGGTGGCTCAGTCGGTTAGGCATTTGCCTTTAGCTCGGGTCATGATTCTAGGGTCCTAGGATTGAGCCCCACATCAGGCTCCCTGCTGCGTGGGGAACCTGCTTCTCCCTTTCCTTCTGTCTGCCTCTCCCCCTACTTGTTCTCTCTCTCTCTCTCTCTCTCTCTCTCAAATAAATAAATACATAAATAAATAAATAAAATCTTTAAAAACAAGAAAAATATTTAAAAAAAGGAAGACCCAAGAAGGAGCAACTGGCTAAAAAGATGTGCTCTGTCCCCTCTGCCACTCACTGCGTCTATTAGGATGAACACCCCATTTGTTTCCTGGGATTACAGATCTACTGAGAGAGCTAAGGGACTGACTATGGGAGAAAAGATTTTTCTCTTCCTGCCCCAGCTGTTCTGTGCCTTCCTCCTTGCTCCCTGGGCAGTTGTTTTCATGGCCTATGGGAGCAAAAAGACCTATCCAGCCAGCCCAGAGTCAGGCAGCTCCCATGAGCACACTTTTCTATCAAGTTTCTACCTGGGATATAAGTTCATTAACCACCACCATTCCACAGTCCTGCAACCCCAAATTCTGCCACGATCGTAGCTTTTTATGTCTCTGTGCCTCACTCAGTTCACGGTTTGGGGGATTTCAGATTTCAAGGAGATATAAGAAGGATGACCTTAATAAAGAAACCCTGAAGCCGATGTTGGCAGAACTGAAGGTGAGTAGAAAAGCAAAACTAGAGATTTTCTGTGAGATGTGTGTCAAGTCTAAGTTCAGGGGGAACTGCTTTCAAGGACTCTCCCAGGTGAGGTATGTCTGTGTGTTTCTCAGAGGAGAGCCAATGTCTTTTGTTGCCTCTCCTTTACCTCATGGCCTGGGGGGCATTCATAACATGACAAGTCGAGTAACCGCAGAGGTAACTTCAATGTCATTAAAGTAGAGGGGATTGCTCAAGACCTCATCACCCATCAGTCACTAGAACACACATGCTGAAGGCACATCAGGACCCACCAAGAAGCTTAGGGTCTGAATGACACAATGAGGATATTCAGGTAGGATGAGAATACGAACTTCCATAATTACACAGAGATGTGTCAATAAGCTTACCTCATTTTCCAAACCCATGGCTTCTACTCCAAAAATAGCCAGTTCTATTTTTAAAATGCAGTTTATCTTTTTCTTCTATGAGAAGGTAGATCCAATGAGGGTGAGAGATTTTGTCTATGTTGGTCATTCCTATTTCCCCAGTACCTGGAACAGTGCCTGGCAATAGTAGATGCTCAGTATTTGTTGAATCAACGAATGAATGAACTGGATGCCCCATAGAGGACAGAAACCCTGCTGGGAAACTTTGTGCAGACTTATGTGAGTGCACCCTCCGGGAGATAAGAGGGAGAAAGAGGCCTGTGAGCTTTGGTCAGCTGGGCTAGAAGGAGGAGGATGGTAAGGCTCAGAGAAAAGGCAGTCAGATGACCGAGGCTTGAATGTCAGCTCTGCCACCATGTGACTTTTAAAGAATTTAAACACTTAACTTCTTGCCTTTGTCTCCTCATCTATCAGGAGGGCTAATGAGAGTGCCCACCCGAGGGTGAAAACGTGTCCTCAATCCCTCAATACATGATAGCCATTTGTATCGTGTTCTTTACTGGTCTGGAGAGAGGGTGGTCATTACCCATTTGCCTTCCACAAAAGAATGCTATTAACTTTCTGCTGTCTTCCAGGGGAGACTACAAAAGTCGATAGAATCCTGCACAAGGGAAGAGAAGGAACTGCTCCAGGTAGAGGCAGTGTCTCCTCACTGAGGATCTGTCCAGGATGTAAATGGGAGACTACCCCAAAGTCTTAGAAACAGGACCGCTGAAGGCATGGGAGGGGGGAGCAGAGCAACTGGCAGAGGAGTTTCTGATTCACATGCAGGTGAAAGGGGTACGAAAACTTAAATTACAAGTACTGGTTTTACCATTTCTTAAACACGCTTTTACCCTTAATATTCAAAATACTATTGCTGAATCCCAAACCTAAGAGCCCTGATCACCTCTCCTGATGTTTCACCTCACAAGCAAATGACAACCGAGGCAAACAATTTTGGTTTGCCTCAAAATTATACCGTACCCATGAATGACGAGATCACTGCTTTGCGATATACTTGTTTCCCCTTAAAATCAGAAGTTGCTAGGTAACCAGTCAACTGTCCAATGCACCAGTTAGGGTCCCCAGGAGCAGCCCAGGCTTGGTTCTGGTGAGACTTGTTAATTTTCTCTTCTTTTTAGATAGAAAGCGACTACCAATCTTTGCACCAGCTCTGTAAGGACCAGGCCCACTACATAAAGGTATTTTACCTGTAGGGGCAATTCAGAGAAGAGGCAGAATTTCTCCAAAGCCATGGGTTCCTTGGTTTCTTATTAGGCTAAAATCTGCCCTTGGGGAAAATGACTTTTATACGGCAGCAACAACAAAACAGATGTATGTTAAGGATTTACCTTGTGCCACGTGATGGCATGTATGGTACTTTTAAGCTCTCCACATGCAGTATGTTTCTACATTAATTTGTCCAGTAAAACTATGGGGATGATATTGTTATAAATCAAGAGGACCCTGGGGTTTAGGGGAGTTAGAGAACATGTGCTCCAGGAAAGCAACAATAAGCATCAGAGCTAGGATTTGAATACAAGCAGATTCCAAAGCAAGAAGTCTTTTTCTTTGCATATATATCTATCTAGTCCAATATCTCCCAATTTCATTAGAACATTTCCCTACTCATGTGTGCACACTCATGCATGCACCATTTGGAGTATTAGGGTTAGTCTTGAGGAGAATCATCAATGATATCGTAATGAAAATATGGGGAAATTCTTCATTATAACAATTTTTTGTTGTTGTTTCCATGGGAAGAAATACCAGGGAATTCTGAGAAAGATGGAAAAAGAAAAAGAGGTGCTGCTTCTTGAAAAAGAAGTGTAAGTTTGGAAAAATGATGTCCCTGATAGATGGCAGTGACAGTCTCGCGGCCGTCTTGGGAGGGGGCAGTGCTTCTCAGACCGGTTTTTGTTTTTTTCTGGGGTTTTTGATTTTTGTTTTTTGGTAGTCCTTTCTTTAAGTGATAAAACTATTCTTTCATGCTTTCCCCTACAATTTTTTTTATTATGTTACTGTTTACACTTAGATTTGCATTCGTCTGGAGTGTGTTTCATGTATAGTGTGAGGTAAAGATCAAGATCATGGTTTTCTGTGTGGAGAGCCTATCGACCCAGTGCCGTTTATTTAAGAGAACGTGCATTTTTCAGTGGTGCCTTGTTTTATAAGTCAGGTGACCATACATGTGTGAGACTTTCTGCAGTTTCAACCCGATATCAGGTTGATGTCAGGATTTTTCTTCAACGACTGTCTTTTCCCTTGAGAATGGTCCACATTTTCCTGGTATCTCTGTATTTTGAACAGTTATGAGTTTTGAATGTTGAACAGTGAATGCTATCAAGAATCTGAAAAATAAATCATCGATGTTGCATGACTTAGAAAAGCACCTTTCATCAGCCCCCCAGATTATGTTATGTCATTCTGGGATCTGATTTTTTCACGCAGATTCAAAGCCCAGAACGACTCTTCGCAAATAGTGAAACCTGGGTCAATTCTGGTAGAAACCATCCAAAGCAACATGGTAAGTCTTCCTTGTCCCACACTGGAGTTTTCCTTTATCCCTTCCTCCCCTGGGTTCTCTCTCCTTCTCTCCACATCCTCCTCCCCTTTATAATAAACCTAGAATTAGGACATAATGAAGTTCAGTACTTTGTTCCACACTATGGCCACTAGGAAGTGGCAGAGTCAGGATTGAAACCCAGGTAGCCAGACTCCTGACTCCTGCGTGGCTCCTGGCTCCCCTGATACATTGCCTCTCTTTGACCACATAGACAGGCACAGCTGTGGCTTTTCTCATTTCCCATAGGAGAAGACCATCATTAAGAAACAGAAGAGAATCTTTTGGTACAGGTAAGTGGTAGAATCTTGGTTTTTACCCAGTGTGGACCACGTTCACTCTGTAGGAGCGAGTGACTTGGTAAGGGCACAAGGAACAAGGATGAATATACACCCATGAGCCAGAAAATATCAGGCAGCCCCAGATTTTTCCCAACCCTTCTTTCCTTCCTTTCCTCAACACCAGAGTTATGTGGAACTTGGTGGCTGGAAAAAGTAGCTCTTTCTTCAAGATGAAAGCTGCAGGTTGCATTTTACTTTGCATTTCCATTCTTATGGTTCTTGGTATGACCCGTTTCTATTTTTCAGATCCTGAACCTAATCATCTCTGCTATACTCTTTGCTGCAGAGATGGTTCAGGGCTCATTAATTTTCTCAGTTCTTTTATAGGAGGCTGTAACACTTTAGAAAACAAAAATCACCTAAACTCTCTATGCCTTTTCTGTCTTAATTTTTTCAACAAGGGTACTAACTCTGAAATGCTCCATGTGGCACTTGAATGAAGAGCTTCAATTTATGACATTTCAATATTATTAATGACTGAAAGCCTTAGACCAGATTTCAGTGTGAAATTTTCTTGGGAGCACACCTGAAAACACACCCACACCCACACACCCATACATTTTATTGTTTAACTTGGTCTCTTTTGACACTTGATGTTTAGAAAAAACCTATCCTAATGATTTTGCCTGGATGTTCATGTCAGAGATGTCCCAATCTTATTTCAAATTCTAGAACTCCTGGCTATACTAGACCAGAAGAGGACCACTGGTCATGAGACTCATAGGTGTGACAGTCCTGAACATTTTCTGGCAGCCCTCCAAAGGCCAGCCTCATATGTAGTACCTGGAAAAATCTCCTTTGGCACCTCCAACTTTTTTCTATATGGACATCTATTCTTTCAGAGGGCTTATATGTCAGGAGAGCCATGTACAATTCCTAACCACTACATCCATCTTCTTCTGCTATCACCTATCCCCTACCCTCATCCTTTGGGTCTCCATCCCCCTATCAGTTTTGTCTGAAGAAAGCAATTCAGTTATTTACGAGTGTGAGCTTCCCCTCCTACAGCTGGATCCTGGGCTGTCCCTGTCCCCCATGCTAACCAAGAATGTCTCTTTGTAGACATTTCAGGTGTCTTGTCTTCATGATCATGATCTTCATTAGGCTGCTGGGCTATGCGCTTTTCCACCTGCAGTACATAAACCCAGACCTTCTTGTGGATACCCTGCCCATGGTAATGAGCAGGGACACCTTGAAGAGGCTGAGGAAGGTCTTATTTCCCCTCCTCACTCTAGAGGTGGAAGAAGTTCTACCGCATTAGTCTGAAGTAACATGGGGGGCTCCACATGGCCCCCAGTGAAGAAGGGGGACTTGTAGCCCTGAGTCGGGGATGGGCCAAGAAGGAAGTAGGAGCCTTGACTTGGACATCTGACCTCTTCATTTCATTCTAGTCCCTTGCTTTCCCTTTTCAGTGGCTCTCTTTTAAATAAAGACTATGTTTGACCAGTGTTCACTGTGTTGGTCTGTGAATTTGGTCTGATTCCTAGGGCCTCATTAGACATTCACAATTTCTACCTGTCTTGAGAAAACTTCCCCCAGGACTTCCATTCTCTGCTCCATACTGAAGAAAGAGTAGAGACAAAATCCCGTCTTCATTTGTAACATTCTCCACTTCCTCTGGGGTAGGTATAAAGCTATTCAGTTGAGGAATCATGAGGTGGATATAAGGCTTGCTTTCAGTCCTTCCTGAAGTTTTTTATTTTTATATTATTTATATTTTTATATTATTTTATATATTTATATTTTATTTTATATTTCACTATGTATTATTGGAGTGGATGTCCTAAAAAGCTAACCTTTTTTTTTTTTAATGTACACAGATGATTACCCATTCTCAACGGAGAAGAAAATAACCCTAAAATTCAAGTGACATATAAAATATAGTGTGTAAGATCAGCAAAACACAATTTTGCACCTAACTATCATACCTATCCTTCAAATCCTAATTCAAATGCCATCTCCCCCATACTGTCTCCTCGGATCCCTCCGGACCTGAGATAGCTTCACTTGCCTTCTTCCAAATGCTCCTTGCACCTTCGGCATCTCCTTCCTCCTACACATTCCTTAGGCTCTCGCTTTCTGATGACCTTTTGTCCTTTGGAAACCATCCCTGACACAGGTTTTAACTGCACTTCACTCGCACAGTAATGCCGGAAAGGCAGCGGCACACCCTATGTTTGCTTTGGCTGTAGACATGACCCTGCTCAACCTTTTCTTCTGGGGTCTGGGGAGGAGAGGGTGAAGGGTCTCAGGATGACGCCTTAAAAATTAAAACAAAACAAAACAAAACAAAACAAAACAAAAACCCAAAACCAAACCAAACCAAAACAAAACAAAAAAACACCTGGTCAACAGCGCCCTCTTGTGGCCATATAAAAGCTCTTGTGTTTCAGCAGGCTTCCCCAAAAAGGGCAGGAAAGTGATCAGTCAGTTGAAGCAAAAAGATGTATCAATTGTCACTTTTGGACAATTCCCTTTGTGAGCTTTAATAAGTAAAATTGGTATTCCATCAATTCAACAAGTGAGACTCTTCCTTGGACCAGATAGGGATTTTGCCACTGGGATCATAGCAATGAACAAAACACACAAAAATCTCTGCCCAGATTCTAGGAGTAGAGGCATATAGAAATATCAGATGATATTGGGTGCTATAAAAAGTTAGCTGGGGGAGGAGGAAGGGAATAATAAGGAGCAGCAGCCACAATGCTCACTTGAAAAGGTAACATGATAGCCAAGACCTGAATGAGATGAGAAAGCCATGTGGATGGCGGGGGCTTTGGGGGGTGGGGAGGTGGTGGTGCAGCTGATAGGGAGACAGTAAGTACGCAGCCTTGACCTTGGAGTGTGCCTAATGCATTTGAAGTTCCTCTGCTGATTCCATGCTCATATATAACAGTCTCTTCATTAAATTCTTCACTGGAATCCTCCAAGTTGAATTCTGGTTCCTGCCAGGCCCTTGGCTGATACTAGCCCGGAGAAGCATTCCTTAGGCTGGAGGGTTTCAGCACTGGAGTGATTCTAAGGCTATAGGTATATGAGAAGAAAATGGCTGCAACCGGCCGAGAAGCTTATACTCAGAGTATTACTTCCTGTGCCATCTCCAGTCACGTAACTCCTCATAAGTTCCTGGAACTCCCAGGTTCTCCTCTGCCCAGCCCTTCCCAGGTAGACATGGGAGCATCCCAACATTCAAGACCAGCTAAGAAATACGAGCTCAGGAAAAAAAGGTTACGGTCGCCCCATGCTTGCAATCAGCGATCCAGCAGAGACTTGGAAGCTTGAAGATGTGTTGGAAATCCATGTTACGAAGCACAAATGGTCTTTTCTGCCACCCAGAGAGCCTGCCTCCAAAGGGGCCTGGATGGCATTCCCAAGTCTGGGAAGCAGAAGAGGGGTCACTGTTGCCTTATGGGAGCAGGGCTAAGCTGGACATCTGAGTTCCAGCAATGGGGAGCGTACCACCCCCACTCCAAATCCATCCGTTTCTGAAAGATTTTAACAAACTCATACAAAGCACCTGGCACAACTGAAGGTCCTTGGTGGGTATTCAACCGCCATGAGTTTCCATTCCCTTACATGAGGTAAAAGTTTGCCTTTATCTAGTAGTTAATCTTAGTTCTGTCTTATAAAGCCACATAGTAAAATAACGGCTTCTGCCACATTTTAGTCACTAAAACTGAACAGCCTTCTGTTCTCTAAATGAACATTCCGCAGGCCTTTAAGCAGTCACATGACATGGCTCCTAGAATTGTATTATCTTATTTACCCTTCCCTGGACTCCTACTGAGCTGAACAGAATAGGACAGATGAGGTCTGACTGACAAAGTACTACAGTAGCTCTCTTATTCTCTCCCAAGCCTGTGGTGGCGGGAGGCAGGAGAGAGGGAGTGAGAACCTCAAGCAGATTCTGTGCTTTGCTGAGTGTTGGGAGCTCGACATGGGGCTCACTCCCACGACCCCGAGACCATGACCTGAACTGAACCCAAGAGTCAGTTGCTTAACCGACTTCACGACCCAGGTGCCCCCCAGCCGAGATCCTTAACCTTTTAGAACATGAATTATCTTACTCTACATCTCCTCTGCTTTGTATTTGTGCAGATTAAAAGATAATACTAAGTGCAGGATTTACTATGTGTCTCATTAAATTTCATTTTGTTGGTTTGGTTGCTTCTACGTTAGTCTATTGCCATCATGCAAAACCCTAATTCTATGGAGGAATAAACTAGTCTGTTCACAGACAGGGACTCCTGGTAGAGTAGAAACTGCTGGAGCAAGGAGGCTTGGGTGTACAATCTCCTTTGGCCTTGTAATCATTGTTGACCTGAGGCAGCTGATTAACCTTTCCTTTAAGGTGGCTAATCATTCTCTCCCCCAGGAGCCTGTTACAACAGCTGCACATTCTTTCAGTACTCAGAAATAGAATTTCTTTGGGTCTGGAGGCTTGAATTCAATTAAATGGATTAGGTACTCTCCTTACATCCTCTCACCTATCTTAAAACTTAATTACCTGTTAACTATTTCAGACTATCCTTTTTATCATGCAAAAGATCAATTTCCTTGATAGGGAAGGGTGAGGTGAAATAGGACCCTTATCTATGAACATTATACCTCTCGCTCTACGGAGTGGCCTATCTCTTTCATTTCTCCTGTTCCAAACACAGCATTGGAAATGCCTCTTTTAAAAAATGCATTTTATAATATCTTTTGCCAGCCTCAGTGTTGTCTTGAAAAAAAGCGCTGAAGGGGCACCTGGGTGGCTCAGTGGGTTAAGACTCTGCCTTCGGCTCGGGGCGAGATCTCGGGGTCCTGGGATTGAGCCCCGCATCGGGCCCTCTGCTTAGCAGGGAGCCTGCTTCCCCCCCTCTCTCTGCCTGCCTCTCTGCCTTCTTGTGATCTCTCTCTCTCTGTGTCAAATAAATAAACAAATAAATCTTAAAAAAAAAAAAAAACTAAAACACTGAATAAGGAGTCAAGCCTTACACCCTGGTTCCAGACTTTGTGCTGCTCAAGAAATAAGCAATAAGCCATGCTCTCAAAGACTCTTGAACTGGTAACAGATTCCAACACTCAGTATCAAGGTTACAGGTTACTCCAAAGCTTCTCTGGTGTATAAATGCTGGCTTAATTGGGGGCTCATCTATTCTATTGCAGACATCGTGCTGGATACTTCCATACGGTCTCCATTTCATAGTTTGATGAATTGCCTGAGATTATCCAGTTAGCAAACGGCAGAACCAGGATCATGGGCCACCTCTTGACTCCCCCAGGATAGTTGCCTTTCATGTTTCATGAAGTCCTCTTCAACTCCAGTATCAGTCTGCTAATTAGTAGAACTACTAAATCCATCATTGGAATCAGTTACTTATTTTCCTCTCTCTTTTATGATTTGTTTAAAGTTACTACAGAGATCCAGTATCATTCCAGTCACTGTGTTAAATTTCACTTTGGAGCTCCATTATAGCTCTAGTTTAATTATTAAAATTAAAAATGCCTTGGTTAATGCTTTATTAAGACACTCTGGCCCATCCATACCTTAGTCTGAATACAAGGTGGGAGAACTGGATTTTACTGGGGGGAGCTGAAAGCAGTATTAAGGCCACAGCCTCCTGCAGGTGGGTGAGGGTGTTGAGTTGAGGGTGACTCCACCAAGGGCAGCTTTGCCCGGAGTGGCTCTTGAGGAGCCCATATAAAAACCTTTGGTTCTCACACATGAGAGTGACATGTCACAGCTGTTAGAATTACAAAATTGGACTTAGAGGGAATCCAACCCATCCCAGGGGAGCCACTGTCCCCTGCCAGGTTGCTCTTAGGCAAAACTCAGTTGAAATGTTCATGGTGGGTCTTTTCCCCCACACTCCATGTATTGAAATCCCTGCCTCGGAGCCATGGTCCACACTCCCTGTGTGGCAGTGCCAGCTTGAAAGAACAGCATTAGTTGGTCCCTCTGGGAGTTCAGTGAGTTTGAATCCTGAAAGGCTTTAGGTCCCCGAGCTCAAGAGCTGCTGGCTCCATGGCAGAGCCCATGAATGTGCAGGCGCTGCTCCCTCCACTTGCTTGAGCCGGAGGAAGGCTTTCCCTGCTGCTCTCCTCATGGCTCTCAGCTGGCAAAGCTGCCCTCGTGTGCGCAGCCAGCAGTCCGTAGGAGCCTGACCCCGTGCTTGGAGCTGGGGTTTCTTTTTCTTTTTCTTCCTTTTTTTTTTAAATTTTGTTTTTTATAAACATATATATTTTTTCCCCAGGGGTACAGGTCTGTGAATCGCCAGGTTTACACACTTCACAGCACTCACCATAGCACA